GCTACAGATCAGATGCAGATGTGTCAGGTGGTACAATGGCAAATATATATTGTAAGATAGAACATATAGTTAAACAAATAATACAATGCGATAGGGTACAATGACATTTATGATGTAGCAGCGGTAACAACACTGAGTTAATCACTTACGTCTTTTCCTGTCTATTCATTTTATTGCTGATTTTTCGGCTTTTTCGGTTTTCAATATCATCCTCATTCGCCATCTTCCTCGTCCTCGAACTATTTTCCTGGATTACCACTGGATGATACAGTTCTGTACGATGCTGTGCTCTGCCATCGCTGAAACTTTATCGTCTGCTCTGCTTGAGGGGGCCATACGTTCCCGCATATTTTTTCGCCAAGCTTCACCGACGTAGGTGTCATCACAAGTACAATTGAGACGATACAATGTCTCGGAGTTTCCCTCGTTGTGGTAGGATCCGTTCTCACGTAGAAGACCTTCTAGCTGGTTGCGGGGAACGGCATATTCCCATAACGTTATATTTGTTCATAAACCGTTGTAGTCTTTCACTCATACTTCTTTGACGGGGAATCGCCAATGCGGGTTATTAATAAAATTGTCTGATGGGCAGACAGGTTATGATTAGTTCCGTTCAGTTTCCGGCTTACCTTTTGGAACTGTTAGAGGATGAAAGATTTCAGGTGGTATCATTCTGATGTTGTAAGAGAGTGGGATAGGACATATCTGCAAACTTCTTATGCACGGGATTTGTATAAGACCAACTTTCACAGATACCGGCGTGTCCGATTTATAGTTGATGTATCTTCCGGTGTGGGTACACTTCGTATAGACAATCGTTCTTAAGGTGTGTCTTTCCTTATACTTTTGGATATCCAGAAACAGGGGTCTTGCAGTTTCTTCGAGTTTATGTGAGGACCAAACTCGTGGATGTTGCTAGCTATTCCAATAAGTGGTAAAGCTGGTCGCGTACATGTTGCAACGGATCCAGGAGCACGCATCTATGCTACGAATCTGCACAAAATGCTCCGGTTGCCAGTGCAGTCTTTTCGTATAGCTCCATGTATACTTAGGCGATAATTGGAAACGTAGGAGATGCCATGGTACAATCGCTCTGCTGATTACATCGCTTGAAACTGCCAAAAAATTTGTAGGCGTATGCAAATGGCTTCCATTACCTATTTTTTTCTCCAACCGGCTTCTGAGGTTAATGATTGAGTGCCAATGCAAGGAAACAGAAAAGGTCATCAGGCAATAAATATTACTTTCAAAAGAAAAGTAGGCAATAAGTCAGACTTCTCGAGAAAATGACATTCATACTACGCTTTTCCAGAAAAATTTAGATTTCTTAAGATGATCAGTTAATGAAAATAATAAAGATTAGATAATAAAAATCAGTACGTTAGGGCACCCCTGTTTTGGGTAATTAAGTACGAGTGCTATTAACTAAGGGGCATAGCCATTCTTACGAAATAGGAGGCAGAACTCAGCAAAGCAGAATAGAAAGAGTAGGGTACGGTTTTGTAGTGAAAATCAATCAGAGAATGCCATTCTGCCGCTTGAATAGAATACTATGAAATTTGAAGGGATGAGTCTTTGATCAGAGTTGTCACTCTCAACAGGATCCAGCGTGCTGAATGGCGGATAGGTCGTTTGCCATTCGTTTTTGGGTAGCGAGTTCTTGCGACGTTGGTCATACTGAAAACAGCACACCGGTTTATTTATACACAATGCAAGAAATTTGGCCAGTCGGATGATTCAGCAGTAAAACGTTTCGACCCCTGCTTTACAGGACTTCTTGAAGGTATGGAACTGGGTGGGCTTCAGAAGTCTTATTTGGCGCCTGCAGGGGTTCCTGCGTGCACAGCTCGAACGCCTCTTCCTTTTTACCGTTAAGCTCTATCTTATTTGTGGCAGGCAGGAAGCTCGATCGATTCTTCTGTTCATATCGGAAAGGATTATACTAGCTACTAAAGTATGCATCGATAGCATCATTTCTCAAATACCTATTATACAACAGTGAACATAAGCGTCATTCGGCAAAATTGGGCCCTATCATACACATGAATAACTTGCTTCCTCGACGCAACGTTTTTCGGCTGGAACAAAGCTGCCTAGCCTGCTTGATGACAAACGGTCAAATGCTATTGATGGCTGTCTTTGCTGAAATCGATAGATATCTTAAGCAGTTTGCATATGGAGAATGTCTCTTGTTTGTGATATCTGCTGCATTGGCAGATTTTCGACATTTTTGCTGTAATATGTTGCTTGCTGAATCATAGATTGAAATATTCATTTCTCAAAACAGATTTTCCTATCAATTTGTTCAGCCATTTCCTTGCTGGCCTCCTGGTCTGTGTCTCAGCTAGTTTTGCCCAACAAGACCAGTTACCTATTTATGCTTCCACACCACTGAGGTTATTTGTGCCTGGAAGAGAATAGAGTCCTTTCATACGTGGTTATGCCACTTGATGCTCATTATGCAGAGAAGCTGATGCAGCTGTAAGCAGTTCAACAGCTCGTTTTTTGCCCTTTCGTTAGAAATACTGTCTCCATGTCGTACAAGAACAGTGACCTGGCAGAAAGCAGGTACAGGAAAGTGTTTTTGGAGTTATTTGTTTCTAATCCCAAATATTCGCCTGGTTTTCCGAAAGCACACAAGTCCATGGCGATACTCCAGTGTAAATCTGGCTGTAGGGTGCCATCGTTGAGATAAATAAACTGAGATACTTATAGTCGTTAACTTCTTCTATGGCTACCTCTTTATGTTCCCCTGGTAGACCAGTTTTACTGATGCGCTCCTCATAACCTTGTGCTTCTGAGAGTTTCATTTGAGGCCAGCGTTCGCAAATGGAAGCCGGCAGGGGACAGATCCCGCAACGCTCATTGTCTCACCACGACAATATCATCTGTTTACTCGAAGTCAGTAAGACGTCTAGCCAAATATCCTGATTTGCGCCTTGCCTTTTCTCTAAAATTATGCCTTCACATTCACCAGAGTGCGCACTGTTTCATAGAAAAGAATCGAGGACAATGTTGAATGGCAGAAGTGGAAGCACATCTCTCTGGCGAACTCTACAATTAACAGGGAACCAGTCAGATGGCTCTCCTTTGACCATGACGGTCGACATATTCACATCGTCGAAACACGTTGTGAATCAGAGGAAACATTCAAAGAGACTGGCAAATCGCATACATTAAAGCCGTATATGTTTATGAATTTTATGACAATTTTAAAATAATCCAGATTATTGTCCAGGATTACCGATATAAATTAAAGAATGAAAAAGGCCAGTTCAACTTTTTTTCGACCTATTTAGACACTACGGGATAAAGGCGAAAAATCGTTTCAATTTTCAGCCCTTCAACATATCAACAGGTGTCTTTTCCTGCGTCTTATCTTGTGCCCCCATATTAATACTGAAAAATATACATGATATTAGCGTTAGGTTTTTATGGTCTGCATCAAAATGTCTGTCATACTGCTCAATATAAAGCTTCCTTTCCATGGGCAATTTATCAAAGCAGTTCTCTCACCCTACTATTTTCTCAGAAGAAACAGACACAAACCTGTTACTGTAAGATTGTTTGCAACTCGCATTTAATCTGGCTGAATAATTGAGAAACTTCAAAAACGTGACTTTTAATTGGCCTGGCGTTCAGCATTTGAACGTAACAGCTTTCCTCTACATGGGATCCCCGTGAGTTAAAGTTTTAATTGGAAAGTTTGAAACA